CGCTGCTGCCTTCCCTGGGGCGTGCGGGCTCCTCTGCAGCTCCTGTGCCCCCGAGCCAGGGTGCCGCTGGAGCCCCGGCCCAGCTGGGCTGTGGGGCAGGGCGGCCAGTGCTGGGCACAGGCAGCGCCCGGCCAAGGGGCAGAGCCCCAGCCAACCATTCCCTCTGTGCCCTGCTGCTCTCTGCAGCTGAAGAAGGACCGGAGCCAAGTGGCCAAGTACGTGCACCAGGCCCTGCCGTACCTGAGGAGCCCACAGCAGCCCCTGCGAGAGGCAGCCGTCACCTTCATGGGTGAGCCACAAGGTCCCTGCCCGCCCCGCTGCAGCTCGGCCCCAGCCCCGGCTGCTGCAGCGGCAGCAGATGCGGCCAGGGCTGTGCTGGGGAGCCCCGAGTGCCCTGGCGCTGCTGCCGCCCTGTGCCAGCCCAGCCCTGGGGCGTCCCCAGGCGGGAAGGGCCCGGGCTCAGCCCTGCCAGGGCAGGAGGGCGTGTGGCCGGGCTGGTAGTGCCACTGGGGGGGAGCTGTGACACCGCTGGGGCCCTGACAGCATCTGTGTTCCCAGGGATGGCCGCCAAGTACCTGAGGGGACGGTACCAAAAGCTGCAGCTCATCATTGACGGTGAGTGAGGGCAGAGGGGGCTGGTGAGGGGAGCTCTGACCCTGAGCAGGGAGCTGCAGTCCTGCCCTGGCTGCAGAGGGCTCTGCTCCCTGCACGGACGAGGGGCCACGTGGGCAGAGCAGAGACAGATTTCAGGGCCAGGAGGGATGTTGGTGACCAGCACCTTCTGGCTGATCCCACTGGGGATCATGGCTCCCTCCTGGCCATGGCAAGAGCTGGCTGGGATGGCCCTGGCAGGAGGGGCTCCTCGGGTCCCACCAATGCAGGCTCTGACCTTGGCTCTGTTCCTCTCTGTTCCAGCCCTTCAAGCCACGAGAGACGACAGGAGCCCTGCTGTTTCAAAGCTGGCACTAGACACCATCAGCCTTGTTACAGCTGTGCAGAGAGCTCCCTACGCCAGGTTCCAGCAGCTCCAAGACCAGCTCTGCAGGGCATGGAATACGCACCCTTCTCGGTGAGGCTGTGCGTGCCTGTGCTGCTGGAGCTGTGTGGAGGCTTGATCCAGGCAGCTCTGTCTGTTGGGGCCACCTGAGTCAGTCCTTTGGGCTCTGCTGCAAAGATGGCCCTGTTCACAAGCCCAGAGTTCCTGCTCGAAGATCTGACTTTGGGCTTGCTGGAGCCCATTCCCTGTGGAGGATCCCGACCAGCCCGACCACACAAAGGGTTACCGAAGCAGTGTGAGAGAACAGAAAAGAACAAAGCGGAAGATTGGAGGTGGTGACCACAGTCCCTGGACCCATATGGTGTGATCTTCGTCTGACCCAGAGCAAGAAGACTGAAGAAAGGAAGAACACATGATGGAAGCCTATGGGTGTAAAGATGGACAGAAATTTGTATCCTATAATGGGAGAGGCCAAGCCGAGCTTGTTGATCAGTTGAAGACGCTTGGCTCACTAGAACTAGTTCCTCTGTAAATAGAGGCTTGGAACAAATAATAAATGATTCTCCTGCTGACCAGCAACAGAAAGCTCTTGCTGTCCAGGTAGTGCCGAGAGTGGTGCACCAACTGTGCTTGAGAGATGGAGGGTAAGGGCTTCCTTTCCTGGGTGGAACGGCAGTCGCTGGACTGCGGGTGCGCGGTGCTGAATTTGGCCATCTGACTGCCAAAATTCAAGAGGGAGGAAGATTCCTCCTGGACAAACTCTTCCTGCTCAGAAAGCTCTTGCTGTCCATTGGGATTGGGGAAAGTGAAGGGGATAGGGAGGACTCTGGGATCCAAACCTGTTCTGTGTCTCTGATGAAGGTGCCACCCCACTGAAGGAGCAGCCCAGACAATGCTGGCAGCAGACACCTTCTGCCTGTTGCTGCTCTCGCATGGACACGGCACACGTGTTCCCACGGGTCCAGAACACTTGATCCAAGAGCAATGTGGGGCCATGCACTGCTAGGGAATGGGCTCCAGCAAGCCCAAAGTAGCATCCTCTAGCAGCAAAACCTGAGCTTGTGAGCTGGGCCATCTTTGCAGCAGACCACAAAGCAATGACTTCCCTCCGTCCTGGAAGCTGAACCATACAATGCTCTGCTTCAGCTTCTGCTGCTTCTCCCCTCCATTCCAGAAAGGCCTGCATTTAGAGTTCAGAAGCCCATGCATGTGTTTTTGAGGTGCCTGCATGGAGGAGAGGTTCAGCAGCTGCACCCCAAGGCTGATATCCCATCCCAGTCTCTAAGGATGGCAGCAGTGCCACCGCTGTGGGACACCTGAGTGTGGCAGCTGAGTCTGCCCTCAGGCACGGCCATGGCAGTCAGTCAAGGTGACAGGCTGCCCCTGAAGCTACCAAGCACTGCTGTGAGGCTGGTGTTCTTGTCATCTGCCATGCCTTGAAAGGCTGGAACAGAGAGGAACAGAGCCAAGGTCAGAGTCCAGGTCTGTGGGGACCTGAGGAGGTGGTCACCAATGCCCCTTGTGCCCCTGAAATCTCTCTCTGCTCTGTGCACGCAGGGAGCAGAACCCTCCAGAGTTGGGGCAGGATTGCAGCTCCCTGCCCACGGTCTGTGCTCCTCCTGCCAGCCCCTGTTGACAGCCACACACTACAAGTCTACTGTTATTATTTCACGGGCTTTGCTGCCATCCAGCACCCTTTTGTGACAACTGCAGTCTCAGAAACACTTTAGCATTTGGGTTTTAGGGTTTTTTTCAGGCAAGCAAAAATTGTAGAGCATCAATCCCAGGCAGGTCTCTCAGGTAAACAAGGACAAATATTTAACAGTATTAACAACTTCTTCAAGAGTGGCTTTGCTTTTCCACTGCAGTGTAAAATATTCCTGCCTAGAAGGACTGTTTCAAAGCATTGAGACTGTTCCTGACAGATGTGAACAGACCTTTTGGTGTCTCCTTGCAGCGAGCATTTGGTGACTGGCAAGTGTTTTGAACTTCATGTTTTTTAGGAATAACACACAGTATCTCTGGAAAAGAATCCCTCCTGCCATCAGATCTGTAAGTCCTGGATTTCCAGCTGTGGCCACTGTAGAGAAGACATTCTTCTGGATGAACACTTGGAAGGGTTTTTTGTCACAAGAGGCAAATGCTGAACTTGGTGCAGTTTGGTCAGTGGGGCAGAGGATCTGGCAGAGAGACTTGGAAGCACTCTGAGGTCCAAAGTGACCTTGTGTGGGCAGCAGGGCATTGCCTGAAGTGATTCCTGTGTGCTCAGACAGTAATTAGGAGAAATCAGAACTGTTGCCAAATTTGTGTAGGTTTTCCTGAAGGAATTTTAGGTGTCAGATGTAAATAAAAACCTCATGACAGAACCTTGTAAAAACAAAGCAAGCTGTTTTTAGTCGGGTTGTGCCTGTGATTGTATATTCTTTCATACTGGAATTTCATAAACCACGTGGTTTGTTCCGTAACAGCAAAACAGACCATTGGTTACCCAGTTTTATCAGACTTCTGAGCAGTAATTTAGGGAACTGGGCTTGGCATTTCAGAACCTTGGGACACTCATAAAAAGGTCTTATCTGTTACCTGTGACTTGAGACAAATGTTTTGGAGACTGTGAAGTGGTAACATGCAAATTCTTGCTACCAGAGGGCAGCACAGACTGCTAAGAAGCCTTCTGAGGTTATTTTGCAATAACAAATTCTCTGTAGCTTTAGAAACAACTGATTTTTAGATGCCATTTGTAGTTTAACTCATTGTTTTTGTCGGTTCTTTTTCCTGCTTCTGACCTGTTTGACACACAAGCCTGTTGCAAGTGGAGAATGCCATCAGATCAGGGTTTCCTGAAGTGGTTTACACACTGGTGGGAGTGCCCAAGAAGCTGCATTTGGAGGTCAGTGTGGTCTCTGAGGGCTTTGGTCCTGGCAGAGCAAGTTGTTGTCTCTGGCTGCTGACTGGGATGGGTCAGTGGAGAGTGGCAAGGGAGGGGGAACTTGGGAAGTGCTCACTTTGGGGTTGGTTGTGGTTTTTCCAGAGGTGTCAGAATTGGGAAAGTGTTCTCAGATTTCCTGCCTGTGTCTACTCACAGTGTTTCTGTGTCCTCAGATGGCACCAGGAGAGAGGCCCTTGCCCTGGTTTCTCAGGCTCAGACATCGACAGCTGCTGATGATTTTGCAGCTTTCCTTGGACTTTCTCTGGAAGATGCTGGGAAAGGTACGTGGCATCTCTTCCCTGAGTGGTTTTGGTACTGAGTGAGATCAGAGATATCTGAGAGATGATTAATAAAAATGGGTATATGGATTCTGAGACTGTTATAAAGAGAAGGGATGGGGCAGTGAATAGAAATCATGTCTTTGTTCTGGATAATGGTTGCATTTTTGTAAATTATTTTCCACTAGTTGTTGTTTATTCTTCCCTTCTGTATGTCAAAGCAGTTCCATGGTGGGGGAAAGGTGCAGCTAATTCCCTGTGCTCCTGCTTTCCTGATGTTATTTGTTGAAGTGCAAGTGTAAATATAAGCGTGTTAGTAAGAAATCTCTCTTGGAGTTCTGGCACACAGGCAGTGAGCCGAGGTGCTTTCCTGCTGGCCTGAATGTGCCT